ATTTCCCTTCTAGCCCTCGCGGATAAGGGATCCATGGAAGGCCATATTTCGTAGGGGAGAGAGACAGCACGCGTTAGTATATACACGGTTGGTGGGTGTACGCGTGAAGTGCCGCATCAGCCATCCTACTTTTCATACTCTCTTCCCTTCGCCACGTGGTCTCGACGCGCGATCCCTTGAGGACATGGTCTATCTGTTCGGGAGCTTTTATGGAGGTCTATGCTGTAGGAATGACAACCATTATTCAAATCGGAGGACCAGTACACTTAGAATGCGCTCTATCCTGGCCGCTAGCTGGGCCGGGAGACATATGATATGTTTGTGTGAGACATCTCCACAGGTGAAATGCTTCGAGATATGAACAGGGGGTTTCATCAAAATCCGCTGATACTCCCATATCACACAGGTTTCACGGATTCCAGAACAAACAAGAAATTCAAAATTTACTCAAACGCAATTGTTGGCAAGCATATTGGGCTGCTTTAGGCCTATTTCCAGCGTGTCTGTTCATTCCCCGATGATCCTAAAGGATTTCCCTGAAGCAAACTTTCACATTTTCGCTGATCCCACGAATTAAAGGAATGCGCTATAAGTTTCACCGAAGGAGGGAGAATCTAAGAGTAGAATGATACCAAAATCATTGATTATATCCCAATAAATAAGGGAATGTGAAATTAAATAGGATTATTCAAACCGGTGTACAGGAGTTTAAACATATAGCGTGCCGCTTTAAGAAATCGGCCTCACGAAAGGGAGGAGAGTCAACTTTCACGGATATCGGAGGTTCGCTATTGTCTCGCCATCTCTTGGATGAACAAGGCGACGAATGTTGCCCTCTCGCAAGGGCAACATTCTTCTCCTCTTCGTTGCCCTCTCTCGAATGGTTCTCGCGAGAGAACGCTGGCATCACCCGCTGCAATGCCTCCCGCCTGCTGCCGGGCATTCGGGGATTTCAAGCGTCCCTGATGAATTGCAAATGATTAGTCATTTCGTCGCCGCTTCCCGTCACACGAGCACGACAAAGAGTCAGTGGAGAAGGACTTCTTCGCAAAGAAAAAAGAAGTTTCTCGTGGAGGTCCACCTCTGAAATTGCAAACATTGAAGAATGACGTGCATCTTTTGTCGATGCATGCATCATCTTCAGTCTTTTCACCTGTTCGCGGGCATGGATCCATATATGGGTTTTAAAATTTAGCCCTTTGACGGGCCTTCGCCTATTTATTACTTTTGTCCTAGAGTCTGTCAGGAAATGCTGCCACGCCTTGGCGTGTGCAGCAACAGGTTACTGCGGCATTTAACCCATCGAAAGAGGTTGTATAGGTATCCAATGCGCACTGTATACACCTTGTGTCTGAGACTGTCCTTGCTCTGTAATGGTGTGCCCGGTAAAAATGGACGCCGTTGCAGGACCTAGTAGTGTAAAACGTCCAAAAAAACAGCCTTTCTTCTCGAATGATTGAGGACATCGTAAATTCCGAGTCAGAGGACGACTTTGCTTTATCCTCTGATGGGGAAAGTACAGGTGGACAAGATGTGACAGGTCTAAGTGGCAAGTTGTTGTGTGCGACTACCACCAAGAAAGAGAAAAAGCGGAGAAAAACAAGATATGAGTGCAGAACTTGCAAAGTGTCACTCTGCATTGTGCCGTGCTTCGAAACATACCATACGCAAAAGCACTTCTGACGGTACCGGTAAGTAGAAAATTTGTGCACATGATTATATATAAAGTGTCTACATCACATACATGAAGAACATGAACAAAAATACTCTGAAGGAGCATGTTTTCTGAAAAGTGTGAAAAAACTGGCTCTTGAAAGGGTTAAAAGAAGCCCAGCCCTTCGTTCACGGGGCCGATTAGGCCTATAGGGGTCTACCTAGAGGAGTCTAGAGGAGTCTAGGGTCTAGAGGAGATGTACACTGTAAAAAAAATATTTCTGGGAAATTCCGACTAAGGCATAGGGAAACAGTTTCCGTCTAAAAGGGTTTCCGTCAATTTCACCTTTGTTCGGACAAGGCTCAAGGAGGCTTGAAACACTTCATTTTGTTGTAACTGAATGATAACCCTGCTCCAAAGATATTGAATCTTTTTAATATTTTATGGCATAGGACGATCGTGATTGAGTGAGTGAGCGACTGACTTTAATTCTAACCATGTTTTAGATGAGACTGGAAGTTCGAACTTGTTACACGAATACCTCTGATGGTGCAGATTTCAAGGTACTTTTTGTGGGAGAGACGTAACCCATATTTTCTTTCTCTAACAAAACGGAGAGACATAGAAGCTGAAACTTGGTGCATTGATACCTATTGAGATGAAGTTTTCAGGGGGGGAAGAGCTATTTTTAGGATTCGTTCCCAGGGGCATATTTTTTTGGTTGGACCTTTCCCAAAAAAAGTATTCCGTTCCAGGGAATCATGGAGACAAAAGGCTGAAACCTTACTAAATAGGTACCTGCTGGTATGCAGTAAAGAGGGGAAATCCTGCTTTTGGGGTACATTTGGGGGTAGCCATATTTTGCTACATTGAATCGGGCGGTGGCTGATATAGAAACCTGGAATTTGGTACGTAGGTTGCTTTCCAGTCGCTAATTTTGGAAAAACCCTACTCTTGTGGTAAAATCCCTTGGGTGCACATTTTTCATATGGGCCATATTTTCGAAATTCTTTTGTAAGCAGACCGGGCAGGCACAGTTTGTTACATTCAGTAGGCAAGTATTTCTCTGCCTGCCTATTTACAAAATATCCCAATTTAGGGACACATCCCCTCTCCGAATTTGGAGGTACAGTACAACTCCTAGAAGAAAATTCATCTAGCAGACGTGTTCATCGTAAGCAATTTTGGCCCTCCTCGAAGACATTTCACGCGAATTTGAGCCCTGATGGCCTTTTCAACAGCCTCGGATCCATGATCCCTTCAATTCCAACCTCCTTCAACGATTGCACTGCATTAGAGGCACGCCGCACACTTAGGTGTGCGAATAAATATATGGAGCTGTAGTTTTATGTTCTAGGTGCTCGACGGTGTCCGAAGGTACATGTCCCGTTATGAAAGTTCGGAGAGTGCTCCGAAATACAAGTTCTCTGAAAACGATGACTCGACTGAGCTTTCGTCAACTCCAAACGTTCTTTATCCGAAGAGGACATCATATTTACGCGGATATGACACAATTGAATGTGCCCTCGTATGTCCGAACTTAAGTTTTTCAGACATTTCTTGACCTAAGTCTGGTCACTCTATGTCTTGGCCTCTATTTTTCCATATATCAGGACTACTATTGCCTAAGTCTAAATCTCCTAAAGTCCACATTTCAATACAATCGCGTTCGTTGAATGTTTCAGAACCGGCCAGTGATTTCGTGATCGTATTCCCTGGCTGGTCCGGCAAAACCGTCTCGATTTGCTCTCAACTCAAGTAGCTCTTGTCTCATTTTCCATTCGGAACTCTGATTCTCTGTTGTTAAAAGTATCAGCCAATTGTGAAAAATGTTTACTGTTTCCACACTTGATACATATGTCCATCCAACTGTTCCTCAAGAAAAAAGGAGATGCTGTTAACATGCACTTGGCTCACCCTATCCCAGTGGTGCCCTACCCGTGGCCCACGGGCAAAAAGTGGCCCTCGAGGTGCTCACAGGTGGCGCGCAAGGCCCTAACCCAAGACACGCTCAAGTTTCCTCTCCTACAATACTTGTGACTTAATATGGCCCGCGATGACTGTGGTAGTGAGCTATGTACCCCCTAGCAGAAAAGGTTGAGCACGACTGCCCTACCCCTTATCCAGGAATTCACGAGTTCCGGTTAGAGGAATACACCTCCTCGAATTCCCCTCTGAGATCATCCAGAGGAAGGAAATTTTGAATGCTTCTTATCCTAACCAGACAGATTCATTCCAGCGAATTTGAATCGTCTTCATCTTCCCGAGAGGGAAGGAGAGAGAGAGGAAAAAAAAATGGAGGATGAAATTCATTCCTAAAAACTAAAAACTAAATCTTGCTTTCCCTAATACTGGAGATGATGGAACTTCAGAGTTGTGGGGGTAATTCTGCGTTGGGAGGGTGAGAAGCATGCTCAATTTCGTCCCTGCGGATGCTCTCTGAAAGGAATACTCTGAGGTGAGTATTCTAACCTGGAAGGAGTTGAAGGAAAGGCAAAGGCCCTACACTCTTAGAAAATTCCGAGCGTTTAGGGAGTAAAATGTGAGCACACCATGAGCTTTTCAAATGTATTCTCTTACTGCTCACCAAATGCTCCCTCATCACTCGTATTGAAGTGAAAACCTTGAAGTTGTTCGCCAGGCCACTAGATGGAGGTAAGGGTCTCGCTTTTCACACAGTACACAAAAGTTCCCTTCCCTCTCTCCCTGGAATCGTCCCTCGCAGGATTGTTTAGTACCTCCCCATATGTCTCGCCTAGTCTCATTACAGGATTCAATAAACACGGACATTTCATCATTTGTTATCCACATATTCAAGACATATGCATAGAGTCCGGACCATAAAGAAACTCATATTCCTTTTGAGAACCCATTCGGAACTCCTAATGTTTCATCCGCATAGGAGAACTATAATACAAAGAGTGTCCGTGAACTTCATTCAACCATATCTCAACTGAAGGAGGTAATGAAGGACTGATGTCCCGGATACTTCTCGGTACCATAAGAGGTGATTCTCCCTCTGACATGTTCTATGATCAGTACAGTCAGAAGTATGTCAACTTCTGTACTGTGCGAGAGCGAAAGCGACACAAAGTATATACGAGAATTTGCGTATTTGCATGACATCCCTATCTCTTTCTGAGGGGAGCGTTTTTACTCACGGAGGAGGAGAGCAATTTTACTCCTTGGTGATGGAGCAAATTCACTCCTTTCCCAGAGTGAAAGGGGAGTGAAACTGGAGTTAGCCATTTTACTCTCTTTCTTGAGAAAAATCGCTCCTCTTTTTCTAAGAGTGTATCACGCCACTTATTCGCTTTCGAGATTCCGAGAAATATCGGCCCTACGCATGGAATGTTTCTCTGAGTCTTTCCTCGTTGTTATCTTAGACGGCGTCACGTGCGTCTGTACTCATCCAGGCGGACGCAACTTCTCATCCCACTCAACGAACCCGGAACCAGTCCGTCCCGACGCGGACGAATCGCTCAAGATGATCCCATCGACCTACCTTCCCCTTCTGATTTCCTTGGTCGCGGGGACGAGGGGGCAGAACCCTTGTCCCGATCCTGACGAAATCGCACCCTGCGTCTGCCACTTCCAGGACGGCCCGAGAGTGAACGTCACCGTTGATTGCTCCGGAGCGACGTCGAGCGGTCAGATCTACTCCGCCTTCAACGACGTCTCGTGGATCTTCAATCGACTCACGTGAGACATGATACACGCGAGGGACCGTTTAGATGGACATAAGTATTAAATGTGGGAATAGTAATCTTTTTTATCATGATTGGCTGATAAGACTTTCCTTCAGCGTTACATAGATTCATAATTCCGAATGGAAAATGAGACGAGAGCAATTTCATTTCAGGGAAAATCGATATAATTATGTAAGACTAGGGCACCCACATCTGAGTCAGCACGCAACTCTTCTCTTATGAATTTGAAAGTTCCAATTTTGCACAGGCGAATGATGGAATTCTGTTTCGTAAATGAGACATATACCAGATGGCGCAAATTTCTGGACCCCTAGGCAAAGTGCCATAATCATTACATTTTTGTCTTTTCCTGAGAAAGTAACCCAAGGTGAGCGAGTGCGGTTGGTTTTTATGTACGCGATAGAAGGGAGCAGTTATCGATCTGTCGTCAATGAATTTAATCGATTGCACCCAGAGAGGGATCCAATCGATCGCTCAACATTAAGAAAACTGATTTAACGTTTTTTAAGACACAGGAAGTGTCTATGATCGACCCCGTAGTGGTCGGCAAAAACACTCCTCCAGATGTGGAGATTTAAACAATGGTGCTTGTTCATCTGATAAACAGCCTAATAAAATCAGCTCGAACGTCATCCCACGAGACTGGTGTCAAGATGGTCTTGTCAACGAAACCAAAAGGCGCATCACTTTCGACTTCACAAAGTTCAGTTGGCACAAGAACTGCATGCCGATGATAGTGATCGTCGATTGGAGTTTTGTGAACAGGTCATAAGACCCAGACAACATTGACCCTGACATGTTTAGCGATGAGGCAGTTTTAGTTTTAACTTAGGGACATGTTAATATTCACGGTCGTTCTTAGTCAGAAGAAAACCCTAACATGGTAAAATTGTGCCAAGTGCAAAACGAATAAGAGTGCCTTGAGTAATACGACCCGTATGTCATGGTTTTGGCAACAGCATGGATATAAAAGTTGTTAGGACCTTTTCCCTCAAGACTAATGTCGCAGACGAGACATATATCTTCATATGTTCTAAACATTTATAAAACCTATTTTTGACGACATGCCAGTAAGACGGGGAATGAAAGTTTTCTTCCAACAGGATAGTGCTTCCGGCGCACTTTGATCTCCAAATTCGCGACTTCCTGAATGGATTGTTTGGACAACAATGGATTTGACAGCGGGGTTATGTAGAATGGCCACTATGGTCACCATCCCGTTGGATTTTTTTAAAATATGGGGTTATGTCCGTTGTTTGCGTAAGGCATCCAAGAACCTTGGAGGACTTGAAGAAGGAAATCATAGCTGAATGTGCCAAAAGTACTCCCTTTGGCTTGAGAAAAGTCCTAGCATAATTTCAAAGTGAGTTGAAAAATGTATTGAAGTCTAAGTTAGTCAGTTTGAACAATTGCTAGGATAAACAGGTTATAATGCCTTTAGGTCCAGAATATTGCGCAACCCTATATGAAGGAAACTTCTAATCTAGGGTCGTATGCAGTTAATTTACTTCCAACAAATCTCTACAACCGAGATTCTTATTGGATATCTCGCATCTGAATTAAGATTCAGGCATCCACCAGAGTAAAACTGGAACTCTCCATGAAAAGGGGGGAATATTCGATGTGCGGTGCGGATTTGGCTTCGCGAAGGGTACAGCAAGACTGATTCGTCTTCTCCAGGAAATTCTTGCTGACATCCCGTTCCGGGGTGAAGGAGCTCCCCGAAGGATTGTTTGGGGATGTCACCTTCCAGTACATAGAAGTGAGAGATACGGAAGTGGCTTCCGTGCATCCCACGGTCTTACTGTCGTCCAAAGATGAACTCTATCATTTGTCGATCACCGAAAGCAGCCTGGAAGACTTCCCCTTCGACGTTCTGTCTCAAATGACCAAACTCCAATACCTCAATCTCAGGCACAATGCCTTAAACTCCTCGCCAGTTGTCCAATGTCCAAACCTTGAATACCTGGACCTTACTGGCAACGAGATCTCACTCGAGAGCGGATGGTCAATGCCATCATTGTATGTTTTATTTCTCGGTAAGAGCGCTTCACTTCGATTTTTTTAAATAATCTGCTCCATATAATGTACACTAATGGGAGTCAATCTATATGCTGACTAATTTCAATAATGGTTATTTTTCTTGGAGTATGCTTGATACATGAAGTCCTTTTAATAATCATTATGGAATTGATAATGACTTCATCCCCTCCATTCTAGGGAACTGAGAATGGAAAGAGAGCCGATTTTCAATTGAAAAGGATGGTGTGATCTCAGAAAAAGCTATATGAAATAATCCAGCTTGGAAAATTCTTATTGATCCCAGTTTGGAAATAGGCGAACGGCAAGTGCAAGTCGCTGATCATGCTTTTCTGGCTGGACCCAGGCAATGTATTTCTAAATGTAGGTTGACCAGTTTTCAATTAACTGTAAGGTAATATCAAGAAATTGTTGAATTTTCATTTTGATACAATTGTATAGAGAAACTTGAAATTGGAAAAATATTCAAATTTGGAATCCTCATAACTGTAAAATATATATCGGGAAAATAGGGGAATTGATTCTAGGAAGTGCCGGACAACATGACGGAAGAGAGATGGGTGATTGAAATTGATTCTGTAATCTTTGAGAGCTTCCCATGAAATTCCGCATATTATACATATGACAGTGAGTCGAAGGTCACTGGACGACTTTTAACAGCTATAACTCAGGAAGAATTGCATTAATTTGCAAACGGTTTTTTGCACACGAAAGAGCGTGCGTTAATGGACGAAACAACTTTTAAATTTGGATAAAATATAAAAAAGAAATGGGATGAGCCAGCACAAAATGAAAATCAACATTTTTCAAAATAAAAGTGATATTTTGGGTACAACGGCCGCCCTATTCGCAATTATTTTCTTTTAATACTTGCTGCTCCAAGTGGTTTTCTGATAATGCAGATGAACAGGCGTCGGTGGAACGTGTCGTCACCGTTAATTTATTCCTATCTATGAAGGAAATATTTTTTCGAAGTGGAGCGTCGTTTTGCTTTGAAGAGAGGGGGATAGGCCGGGTCCAGCCTATCGATTCGCCTTCCTGGTAGCGGGACCTGGCTCCACTCGAATTTTGGTTGTGGGGTTGGTTCCATGCCATTTCTTCGACTGTCACCTCTACGACTGAACGGTTTCTTGGAAAGAACTTAGATGCGTTTCAGCCATTTTAAAGTTCTTAAATTTAGTCGGTAAAAATGCCAAAGAAGTGTCCGTCGAAGAAGTGTCTTTCGAAGAAGTGACATGGAACCGTGAGGTTTCATTTAAAGACCAGGTATATGCCGAAAATTCGTGCACGATCATTGAACTGAAGCAACGCATCACTGAGAAGATGGCTGGAGTTGCCTTTCGGAGACGGCTCGCGTGATCGAGCTTCACGGGGCTCAAAATCATGGCCAGTAATTACAGTTATTTTTAAACTAATTAATAAATGCTTTTTTTTCAACGTTGCATATTTGTCAATTATTGCTCGCTCTTTCCTATGCAAAAAACCGTTGGCAAATTAGTGCCTTCCTTGCCGAGTTATAGCTGTTCAAAGTCGTTCAGTGACTTTTGACTAACCCTGTATTATACAGGGTGGCCCAAAAACATGCACCCCTGTCTTTCAGCATTTTTTTATTTTTATTTTTCATGATTGGTAAGGAACATTTTTAGCATGCGAGCTTCCATCTATTTCTGGCCTTCAATTACAATTTGGCTACGTTTGGAGAGGGATTATAAAAAATTTTTAAATTTCCGGGTGGCACTTAAAATTTCCATTGCTGTGAATGCACAACGGGGTGGGGCACAACGCGTACTGTTGTCTATGCGTCATGGCAGCTGAGTGTCAATCCTGTTTTCTGACCCTGTGGCGTCATGTACTCCAATTATAACATAAAAAAAGCAAGGAAAATTAGAGGAAGGTTGCATTCAAGAGGCGCTAAAAGTGTGAAAATCGAGAGTAGTTTGCGCATTGTTAGTGACACGCTCTCGCAGTTTCATCACATTTTATTCGTTTTTCCCAGATTTGCTGTACTGGAATAGTTCTCTTGAGTATTGCTCCCGAAAATTGCTTCCAGATGCCTATCTCAAAGAAATCCAGCAGCCATTGAAGCGCTAAGGAAAGAAAAACGCTAGGGGTAAAGAAAATAGTGGAAGAGTTCCTTGATTAAAACTGGAGCGTCTCCAGTATCAATTAGCTTTTGCAAAAGATTGATCAAACAGGCAGCAGTGATCGCCAGCTCCCAGCGATCGGTAAATCGCACAATTGATCTTTGAAAGATCGAATCGGAAAGTATGGTTGAAAATAGTGGAGACGTCTAAGAATATTTGCGAGAAAAGAGCTCTGCTTCTGGGGCAGTTCAGTTCTGAGCAGTGAGAATTCAGAATGCTTTTCGAAAGAATGTAATTTCTCCACAATCCTTTGTCCAAACGTAGCCGCCTTTTTAAGGAAAACCAGAAAGAGATGGAAGTTTGCATCAAATAAATTTTGCTTCTCAATCTTGAAAAATAGAAAGGCAAAAATGTTGAAAGACGGGGGTTCCGTTTTTTTTTTGAGTCTCCCTGTATACTTAGCAGAAAGGGTTTAAACTAGGTGAAGGATCCACCATACAAAAACGGTTAGATGCTTCTGAATCACCATTTTAAAAAGTTAATGGAATGCTTATCTTCAATGCGATGAATTCTTTGTATCCTTTTCGATTGAGATGCCTAGGAGATTTATCTATGAGAGTTTTATTAATCTTGAGCGTGGATAAATGAGTATACATGAGAACCGGATAAATATTTATCCCTTCTGAGATTACTATTATGAAACACTGAATGGAAATGGTCTTTCAAGAAAAATAATTAGTGTATCCAGCTCCAGAGGAAAAAGTTACGATTTAAGTGATCGTCCTTTTTAAGAAGCGGAGGAAAGCAGTACGTGTACAAGGTGGGCCATGAGTACAAGGTTGTTGGACTGTCAATGATCTGATATGTGCATATGCTTTAAACGACAAGGGACTCATGACCCACCCTGAGGTTGAGCCAGTTTCTCACTTTCGTGATACCCTCGAACGACTATCCTTAACGAATGAAAATGGGGTCCCTGCGTATAAGACCAATTATAAACTATCTCGGAAAATTTTTCAAATAGACCATCAAGAAAAGGAAAATATATATCCTTTTTGAAGCTGCATATTTATCCCCAATGAGATAGTTATTCGTAGGAATCGGATGTTACTGAAGAGAGTTCAGATTTTAACCTTTTCAGAGTTAAATTGTATAGATGAGAATGAAACACCATTTACAAGGGTTATTTGAGTTAGGTTAAGTTTCCTTTTAGACCACTAGATGAAATTATGTTGCCACAGTTTCCCACAGTACATAGGAGTGGGGGAGTGGTGTCTGGGACACTCAATGGGGTTAGAGGAAAGCCTTGCATCTTCATTATTGCATGAATACTCGGAAAGTTACGTAATAATCTCGGTCGGTTCGTATACAACTTTTTCAATAGGATTATAAATTTCACCTAGCTAAAAGGGCGTGTATATATGTGACCCATAAAGAATAAATATGAGTTGCAGTTGAAATACCAGTCGAGGTGCAGTTGATAAAAGCTGAACCATTTTTTGCTAACAGTGTACTTATATTCATAAGAAAAACCTGCAGATATTGGGATGTTCACGAAATAAACTTCGTCTGCTTGAATACCAGGACATCTCGACCACTACCCCAGTAGCACCAGATATTGGCTCAATGCTGGACCGATATTGGGTACGTTGGCTATGTCTTGGGCAATATTGCCAATATTGCCTGAATGTTGGGGGAAAAATGAAATTCCGACATTGCTATATGATTATTCATCCAATATTGGACCGACGCGATGATCCAATGTGCCTGACCGCACTTGAAGTTAACCTTCAGGCCACTAGATGGAGGTATGGGTCTCGCTTTTCTCACAGTACACAGAAGAACCCTTCTCTCTTTCCCTGTAACTGTCCTTCACAGGAGTGTTTAGTACCTCGCTATATCTCTCGCCTAGTCTCATTATTATTTGAGGAATCAATCCTTACTATCCTCATCCTGAGGACGTAATAAGGAAATGAAGGACTGAAATTACAAGTACTGCGCAGAACAATAAGGAGTTGCCCTCCTGAAATGTACTACAATTAGTACGTTCAGGGACGGTCAGCCTCTGTACTGTTCTATGTCTCCTGCTTATGCACAGGAGAGACTTGTGCATGGACAAGGGGTTATATTGGTACAGGCCGTACAAGTACTGAATAGTGAAACGCCTTCACCATTGGAATGCCTCTACTAGAAAAAAAATTAGGGAAAATATTAACGTCAATATTGGCCCGATGTTTTTCCTTGTAGTAATGCCAACAATGGTCCAAGATGGGTGCCAATACAGAGCCAAGATGTATGCATCTTGGCGATATATATTGACCCAATATTGGGGTGCTACTGGGGTAGGCGCTCGAGGGAAGCAGACAGGAAACTTATTTTCAGGAACGAAACGCGCTTTCATGCGTTTGGAATTGGCAATTTCGGCAAAAGATATTGGTTCATTTCAGTTCATTGGGGCTTTCAGGCTTCCTATGTAGGGATATAACTCAGCTGGATTCCTCTTAATTGAAGCAATGAATATTATTATCTGCGACCAGCAATAAGGTACGAGGCATATTTCATTGAAGCTGAAATTTCAGCGCTATTCCACGTAATCGATAATGCAGCCAGTAGCAACTTCTATCAATACTTTCATTTCATGACAAAATTTCCCATCAGGGAAAGGAGAAGTTCCTTCTTGGAATTACTAGCAGAATTGAGCTGAATATCCAGACCGAATGTTTCAAGCTGAAAACACCCTCAAATGCTCCTTGAAATCCAATCAGTTTCAAACATGGTATTTTTTTTTCTAAGTGACTTTCTGTTTACTTGAAAGAAGCGCTCCCTCCATGCAGATGAAAACCCAATCCTCGACATCCCTGATGGGTTCTTCCAGGACATCGCGGTCATACAACACATTCACTGTTCGTCTTGCAAACTGGGACCGACGCTGAAAAGCGGGACATTTCAGTTCTCTCCCTATTACATGAACTTGGATTTGTCATCCAACAACATATCCCGAGTGGAACCAGGAGCAATCGTCATTGGTAAAAATCTTCCTTTTAGTTTTTTCCCCTTCAAATCCATAGCGAATTCGTTCGCCATTTGGGTGAACAAACTCGCTAAGGGCTGAGGGAGCTCGAGCCCCCTCAGCCCCTATAAAACACCGTCTATGGTGTTTATTGATCCGCCACGTTACTTCCCGTTGTTTTACATTATTGCCAACCTAACGACTTCTTGAAATAGTCGTACCTATAGCACTTCTATGTGATATTTTAGCTATCTATACCCCTCGAATCGATTTAGGGTTAAATTTTCTTGGAAACTGCATGTGCTGCATGGAAATACAGGGTGTCACAAAAGGTAAGAAAACATTTAAAAAGTTAATATCTCACTAAATAATGCCTTAAATAAAATGATGAAAACAGTAAAATGAAGTGCAACTCAAACATTTTTCAACTTGTTATTGCAATTGCACATGGGCACTATTTGTGGCTCTGTAGACGTCCAAATGATGTTCAAGCTCTTACCATGACATACGCTGTGCCAATGTATAACTGTCTGGATAGCTGCAACAATTCTGTTCTTCAGATCAGATTGGAGATTGCTTACTCAAAAAAGGTTGACAATGTCCTTGACATAGCCCCACAATAATTAAAAAAATCCAAGAGGGATGAGTTCAGGCACAATAAAAGTCTACTTTTCAAAGATGTTGCAACTCCACATTTTAGCAAGCTAGGCATGGAAAAGAAAACAGATCTGTGGATTGGACAAAGCAGGTTCATTCCATGGCCACCAAGATCATCTGAACGATCCCTACAGGACTTTTTCATGTCGGCTATGTCAAGGACATTGCTTACTGGA